TTTCTCGGGCTCCACCCCTAAGACGGCCCAAGAGCGCTCCAAGAGAGCCCGAGATCGCCCAAGACGGCCCAGGAGGCCCCCAAGAGGCCCCCAAGATGCGCGCAGGGGGCGCCCCAAGAGGGCCCCAAGAAGCTGAAAAACATAATTTTTCCAACGAAAAAATACGTTTAGCATATGCGCTTCGTCGGCTTCCACGGCGTTGACGACGGCCCAAGAGGCCCCAAAGACCGCCCCAAGACGGCCCAGGAGGCCCCCAAGAGGCCCCCAAAATAGCCCAAGAGGGCCCCAAGACGGCCCAAGAGGCGCTCAAGACGGCCCAAGAGGGCGCCAAGACGGCCCCAAGAGGGGACCACGAACCGAAAAGTTTAGCCTTTCGCCCCAAGACGCTCCCAGGAGGCCCCCAGAGCCCCCCAAGAAGCCCTAAGAGGCCCACAAGAGGCGCCCCAAGAGGCCACCGGGAAGCAAAAATCATTTATTTCTTATGGGAAAGAGGGTACACTGATAGCATACAAGGCTTTTCGGCGTTCACTGCGTTGAAGACGCTCGAAGAGGCCCCCAAGACCGCCCCAAGACGGCCCAAGGCCCCCAAAACACCCCCAGAAGGCGCCAAGACGGCCCAGGAGGCGCCCAAGACGGCCCAAGAGAGCCCCAAGACGGCCCCAAGAGGGGGACCACGAACCGACAAGTCTAGCCTTTCGCCCCAAGAAGCTCCCAGGAGGCCCCCAGAGCCCCCCAAGGAACCCCAAGAGGCCCCCAAGAGGTTCCCAAGAGGCCTCCAAAAGGGCCCGACAAGGGCCCCAATAGGACTCCCAAGAAGGCCCAGAGACGCCAGAAAGACAGCGATCGGCAACGCAGAAAGCTCTTCACACCAAGGCTCGCAAGAGCGAACGGTGACGTAAACAAGCTGATAAGACCAAGGCTCCCAGCAGAGAGCGGCGACGGAACAAGTTCCTGACACCGAGGCCCAGCCAAGGCTCAGGAGCGGGCGGCAACGCAACAATCTCTGAACACCAAGGCCCCCAAGAGCGAGGGGTGACGTAACAAGCTCTTAACGCCAAGGCTCCCAGCACGAACGGTGGGGTGAGTAATTTCGGCTTCTGTTTCCGAAGCGCTCTTTCCGTTTCTGTGCCGGGCCAAGTCTACTGGCGCGCCCCTGCACGGGCGCTTCGCCGGGGCCGCGCTCGTCGCTTTCGGGGGCCCCAAACATTCAACGCCGGCGCGCACGGGCCGCGACCCCACGAAGTGTCGGCGCCCAGACAGGCCCCGTGGATGCAAGTTGGGAGACGCCCCTCCCCCCCCCCCCCTCCGGCCGAGGGCGACAGCCGCGCCCCGGGCGATCTCCTCGCCCTTGCGAACCGCCGCGCCGCGCGAGCAAAAACAGCTGCACATGAACGCGCTCCCACATTGGGAGAAACAAAATTTTCGCGCGTGGCGCTGCGCGGAGAAGGGGGGGGGAATTGCGAACGCTCGCGCCTCCGCGCTGCGCAGGCGATCGGCGCGAGCCCCCTCCCGGCCCCCCGTCAGCCCTGCGAGCTCAGCCCGACCCTGCCCAAGGCCAGAGCTAGCAAGACGATCTCGGAGTCCTTGATGATGAGCTCCAGAATGAGTCGGGCAACCCGCTGGCCCTGTTCGACCACGAACGCCCGCGGGCCAGCGTTGTGCATGATCACCTTAATTTCGCCGCGGTAGTCGGGGCCCTCCACTCCGCCCGCGACGTCGACGCCCAGGAATGCCAGTCCTGAGCGCGGGGCAATCCGCAGGAAAATGCCCGGCGGCGCAAGAGCGGCCACATCCGTGGACACCAGTTCGCGCCCACAGGTCACGACGCTGACGCCCGCGCAGGCGAATAGGTCGTAGCTCGCTGCCTGAGGTGCGCCCCGCGAAGGAGCTGCATTTTGAGCTCGTTAGACTCGCGGGCGTCATTGGCGTCGTTGTCCTGGCGGTTCTTGCCCGCTCCTAGTAATGCAAGCTGTTTGGGTGGCAGCCCCCCGGTCGGTTCTTGGGAGTTGGTCAGAGCTGTCGACTGGCATGCATAGGTGGCCACATGGAACTGACTCTAAGTCGAAGTGCATGGCGCCTGGGTCCTCGTTGACTTCGTCGCACGCAGGACCCGGAAATGTGGGGCTTCGGGACTGCGGACCGAGAAAAGCAGGGAGACCGCCCGCGAGAAGCGCCCAGCGCGGAGACAAATGCGCGGCCGATGCGGGAATGCCCAGCGAGCATGCGACCATGTCCAAATCGGAGTAGCCGACCCGTCACGCGCGCCAGCTGCGGCGCGTCCGTCGGGCGGGCCCTGCCGCAGCGCTGCTGGATCATGGCGAGCTGGACGTTCAACGCGCCCACCGCGCGCGGCAAGAGGGAGCTCACTGAGGCCCTCGTGGCCAATCCTGACTTGACTGGCCTGCTGCGCGCTGTCGCGGAGGATGTCGAACCTGGCGAGAAAGTTGTCGATGCGTTCCTGCGGCAATCGGTTGACGCCCATCCGGGCCGATACCACCCGCGCGCGCCCCCCCTCTCGAAGCCTGCCCCACCGTTCGGCCAAGCTGCGCGTGAGGTAAGTCATAGGAGGCACGGCGCTGCCGTTCATATGACCACCTTGGACGAGGACAGCCGACGGCCACTCGTTCACGCACTCGAAAGCCATGCCGGCCAAGCGAGACGGGACGTAGGCTGCTTGGCAGAATCCGTTGGGTCTGAGGTCGCCACTGACCGAATCCTTACCTCCCGCAGCCAGCATTGGGTAGGCACGCGGGCCTGTCGCTCGGGCCCCCATGCGCGGAGGCGTCGCACGTTGCCGCTGCCACCACCGCCCGCGCCCACGCAGGCGACGCAGCTGACGGCAGCGACCATGCCCAGTCCGATGGCCTTCCAGCCAGAGCGGAGCCCCATGCAGGTGCCGAGGAGGCGCGACAGCCCTGGCACCCACCAGCGGCGACGTTCTGGCAGCGATCATCGGAGCCGTCGTGGGCATCTGTCCCTGGCATGCTCCTCCTCAGAGCACTGTGCGATTCGAGCGCGGGCTGAACTCGGTGCACTGGGCCACGTAGTGGCGAAAGAACTCGTCACGAGTCGCATCGACACGGTACTGAGCACCGCCACCTTTCCGACAGTCAAAAGGAGTACGCATGGGGATCCAGGTCTGCCAAGAAACAGGGAGCGCGTAGGTACCGTCGAAAATCATGCCCAGGAGAACCGGTAGCGAGCAGCCCCTGGAAGAATGGCATCTTAACTGTCTAACCTTCCTCTGTACTCCCGCCCTTGCCTGCGCGCGTTCCTCCCAACTTCCACAACACAGTTGCGGGCAACTCGGGGCGCCTTGCCGACGCACGCGATGCGAGCGTCGGATCGAAAAAACTGTTTGGCATGGTTGACTACACGCTCATGGGGATGCAATCGAGGCGATGAGTATGTTGCCTCTACCCCCTGGGGCGTCCGCAAAGCAGTTGCGAATAGCTCGGGGCCCACGTGCGAGCGCAGACGCGAGAGTCCCGAACACCTCGCACACAGTTTGAGAAGTGCGTTCGTTCCCCAAATTCAAACCTGACGGCGTGGCGGCATCGCCGCTGCCGGCCGCGGTGATCAGGCAGTAAAACACAAACACGGTTAAGACGGTCCAGCGCGAGGTCGGCACAGCTGGAGGCATAACCCGTTGGTCTTGGAGTGGTAGTCCTTGAAGTGGCTGTGTCAAACGGCATGGTGCTGGAGCCCTCGCCCTCGAAGCAGGGCAGCGGGGGGAAGCCATCGTGGCCGTGGCAGGGAGCAGAAAGCTGCTCCGCTACCAACTAGAAGTAAGGGGTACAGAGTTGGAAACACTGTTTTACGGCGCAAGGAATAAGACGACAGTACGAATAACAGGCTGACCTTGACGTGCCCCAAAGCAAAAACGGCAGCGGAAAGGGAGACGGTTAGCAAACTCAAAAGTACCACGAAGCGTACGGCACTTTCTCTCTCGGTGCCAATATGCATATACAAGTCGAATGTGGACAGGCAGTAGGGCAGAGGCAGCGATGGGAGGAGGGGGGGGGGAGGAGCAGGAGGACGAACGCGGGGCGTCGTCTCTTCGGAACGAGGACGCAACACCACAAGATGGTCAGGAAAAAATGCAAGAGTTTCGCGGGTTCTCACGGCTAACATTCCAGAACTGGCGTTTTCGAACGATTCGGGAGTGCCAGGGCGCAACAAATACTTTGATTCGAGGTGTTGAAGTCCCAGGAAGTGTGCTGCTCCGTCACGATTTCGGATCGTCAAGACTCAACAGTCAGGTTGACTCGTGACGTTGAAGTCCTGAGAACGGTGTAGCACGCTTCAGCATTTGGCTTGCATGGGGCCTACATGCTTGCATGGGGCCTGCGAAGACGGAATTTGAAGAGGGGGGCATCCCGACATTGTCGAAGAGTCTTGGCTTTACACTGGTCTTCCTCCTCCTCCTCATAATCATCATCAGCAGCATCAGCATCACGATGCATCTCTCATTCTCCTTAGGCGCCCCTAGCATGTACCCTCCCCCTCTTCATACTCCTCCTCCTCCTCCTCATCATCATCATCCAGTCAACGTATGCACTCGTCTTGTACTCCCTCTCGCAGCCTGCCTGATGCTCTGCTTGTCCCTGCTATCCGCGTGGAACATTTTCCAGAGGACTGGGAGGGAGGTACGTTGATGCGCGAGGGCCGCCACCTCCTGGCGGGAAGAACTGCGCCGCCTGTCGGCGCGCAGAACACGGGCTGCAGCCTAGATCCGAAACGGCCGCAGATGCGCGGGGTCAGGGCGAGGCGCAGACGAGCCCGACGAGCGGGTTCTGATCACTCTGGTTGTACTTCGGAGCTGCTCGCTCCTCACGATCTCATCCTCTCTCTGTAGCCGATGTCAACGGCTCGTCGCGCCCTTGACCCCACACTGGATCACAGGATCCTCGAGTGGGTGCGCACCCAAGACGTAGTCGTGCTGACTTGGAAGACTTCGTCAACTGCCAGCGTCCGGACGAGAGCGCATCCAGGAGTGGTTATCGTGCGCACGCGCCCTTGGTCATGGCGTCCGCTAGCATATCGACCGCACTGCACCACCACAGTCGCTCCAAGAGGCCAAGACTAAATTGTTCTCTCACGGCCATCACGATACTGATGAGTGACTCCTCAAGCGGCAACTTGACGCCCTGGGCGGTCACGGACTTGAAAACGGAGTCCGCGTCGATGACCGCTTCCATGCGCACAGGCCAGTTGCCTTAGGATGCGTCGCTCGCCATCTGGCGTGCGGTGGTGGTGCCACTGATCACTTCACTGTACTACATTGCAATCACTTTGCATGGCTCAATGGCGTCAGCGAGACCGTTGATCTCTGCAGCGAAGGTCGATCTCGTCACTCGAAGATGTCGCTTGGACACGGCCTCTAGCCAATGAGCTCTGCCGCCTGGGTTGTCGTCCTGCTTCTCAGCCAAAGCAAGTATGTGTCCACGGCACGCCATAGACTCACCGTTCTCTCGTTTGAAAGCTGAGTCGCTAATGACAAGAATACGCAATGGCGGCAACATCTTCTCAAAGCGAATCACGCAGTGCTTGCGTTTGGCCCACCTCAGCACGCGGTTCAGATTAATCACATCCATGATAGTGGGGGCCCTCTGGTGACGCTGGAGAGCTCCCACGTAGACCGCGATGTCGTGTCTGGTATTGACGGCCCATTCTAGACCGCCCTCTAGTGCGAGAAAGTGTCCATGTAGGGCGTCGCCCACCACATCACCCGGCGACGACCTCTGTTCTGCTGTGAGCGGGATCGGCTTGAGCTCCTTGATGTAGTGGTCCTGAGTGATGGTGATGCTGCCGTCGTCTAGCTGCTTGTGCTGGATACCGCAGTGCTCAAACCCTCGTTCCTGCACGGTGATCTTGCCAAACTTGAACTTCAGCTACCCGAACAGCCAAGCACGCCATTCAGGGGCACCTGCTCCTTTCAGACCATCAATGCGTGTAGAAGGCAGCCTATGCAGCTTCCCATCTTTGAACCACATCCATATGCATCCATCAAGAGAGGACTGTTGTCCTCCGACTGAAGTTAGATACTGGTCCAGGCGCAGCTTCCATAACCTAAAGGCGTCCTTCAAACCGTAAGCGCCCTTGAGGAGCTTGAGCAGGTGCGTCGGCTTGCTGGCACCCTTGAATGCCTTGAACTCTTGCAAGATGGAGAAGACGTCTGCCGGTGGATCCAAGCACGCATCTCGCATGACCTCCGCACCCTGCTCCTTGATCTCCGCGAAGCTGAGCCCCCTCAGGAACGCGTTGCCGATGTCCCAGCTGAAGATGGCCCAACCATACTGCACTCCGACACTGAGGACGAGGCGCTGTGAAGTGCGCCTTGCAGCGAAGCTGGCTGTGTCGAGGCCGCCCTGCTGCTGGTCCATAAAATCTCGAATGACCAGGCGCGCTTTGACAGCCTTCGCGCCGTCTATGATCTTCCACCGCAGCACCCAACGTCCAGCCATGACGTTCTTGCCAGCTCCTCTAGGCACGGGGCAGAAGGCTTCGAGCTCCACCCAGGACTTGAGCTCCTTCAGCTTGGCTGCGAGCACGCCCTTGTGGTGGATGCGCTCCTCCTCCTTCGTGGGGTTGTGTATCTCCCTCTCGATGAGGAAGCACCAGCTCCGCCTGGAGGAATCCCATCGTGCCACGAGACGCCCGTCTCGCCAGTCGTCCATGTGGGTGACGAAGTGACCACACTCCATCCATCCAGCGTGCTAGTGCGTCGTCGAACTCGATCTCTGGAGGCTCGCCGCCGGTGACGTTCGGCTGGGGAACTCCAGACAGTGCTTCGTTCACGTTGAAGAAATCCTTCGTCTCGATGATCTGCCTGCTGCAATGACTGCTGACCGCAGCCCACCAAGCGTCGACGTAGAGGTTCTCATCGCACATTTCCTCGTCGTCGTCCATCGAGACCTCGTCGAGACGGTCGCCGTCCTCGTCGTACGGTATGGTCTCGAGCTCCGCTCGGTCATCATCGTCAGGGACCTGAGTTTGCCTGGCGTCAGGTGCTAGAGCGTTCGGTCCACTGCTTGACGAAGCTCCTGGCGTAACCGTCGGAGGCACTTCTTGCTCTTGAGGTTCTCGCAGAGGGAGAACTGGTCGTCCAGTCCCTGCTAACTCCCCCTCATCCGTCCGAGGTCGTCGTGATGGCGTAGACGGTCCAGCCAGGGAAAGTGTACTCGATCTGCCACGCTTCGAAACTCGCGGTTCGTCACTGCTGGCTGGTGGCGCAGTCGGTACAGGCGTTGCGAAGCGAACAGATTTGTCAGATCTGCTTCTTGATACCGAAGGTGTGGGTGTCCGTTGTCGTGGGTCCATGGGCTGGTCTGGAATGAGTACCTCCTGGTCAGGTCCAGGAGGATCTGGAGGATCTCGAATCTCCTCCGGTATAGATGAGAGCTCCCGGCTCCGACTTCGCTCGCTCTGTGGAGGCGAACGACCACGACTGACATCAGGAGGCGCTGGTGGCCGTGGACGTCGTGGTGGCAAGCCTGCTGGGATCATGTCCTCGTCGGAGTCGTCTTCGAAGCTGCCCCTGGCCATATCCATGTCGATGTCTGGTGATGCACGATCTCGCCCTTCACGCTGTATGGCCCTTGCATCCGCGTCCGCAACGGCGAGGAACTGCACCCAGTAGGTGTCGCGCCAGCGTCCGCCAAACACCTGAGTGGTATCACGACGGCGTGTCCCTTGCCACTCCAGGTAACTGTAGCCGTCCTGACCAGTGCACCAGTAGGCGAAGGGGGTGAAAGAAACTGCGTCCATCTCAGGAATGGTGTGTATGCCATAGCCTACTCTAATGCCCACGCAGTTGGCGAGACCCATATGCTTGTTGGCAATCAAATATCCCAGGATGAAGTCGAGCTCCCTGAGAAATAATCCAGCCCTGTGCTGCGTAGACCCAGCCAATGACGATCATACGACGGCCGAGTTCCGTGACGAACTCACGCAGCGGGGCCCACTCGTCTGGGAACTGCAGGAAGAAGCTCGACCAGAACGTGGCTCCTCACGTCCTGGAGCCTGCAGATGAGCACGCGGCCTCCCCAGCGTACGTGGACGATGCCGTCGTTGAGCGTCTCCTCAGTGGCGTCCACGATCTTCGCCGGGCCTCTCCATCCGTCAAGGTCCTTGTTGGACGGTGTCCGGAAGATGTCCACAAGGTCGCCCGTCTTGTACTGAAACTTCTGACCAGCAGGACGTGCGCGGGAGCACTCAGATCTGATGAGGCGCTCGATCGCCGTCTTCTCGATCATGCTAGAGAGAGCAAGCTCGCGCGCACGTGCTCGATGAAGATGCTGTTGGTCTTCCTGCCGAGTCGTCGTGGGAGTCTCGAAATCCTGGAGCAGATTGGGCGTCTCGCCCAGAAAAGCCTTGCACGGTGTAGTCCTGCCGATAGTCATCAGAGCGTTCTTAGCATAACGCGCCTCGCGTACGATCTGCTCGGGCTTGATAACGATGCCCTCGCGATCACACTGCTCCTTCAAGCGGTGACAGACTCCCCGAAGAAGTTTATGATGTCTCTCAACCATCTGGGCGCGTTGGTCCACAGACCTGAGCTTCCTATGGATGGCGTGACGTTCGCACATCGCCATGCCGGCGTCGTGCGCGAAAGCTCCTTCGATGATGAGAACACGTGGAGGTCCAAAGATCGCGATCCACATGTCTTCAAAAACAGGAAGGACATCACCTTCTTCTCGTGAGGGAACGGCTCGAACTGCTGCCCATCTGGTGGCCTCGTCCAGCACGTGCAAGGTGGTGAGCTGAAAGATGAAGAAGAAATCCACCTGCACGACCTGGTTGAACCTGGTGGTGAGACGCACTGCCGACATGGATTTGGCAGCGGGTCGTTGCCACATCTGGCAGACCTTGCAAGCTCGAACCACGGGGGCCACCATATCCAGGATTCGCTGTCCGATCCTGGCGGCCTCCAGCAGCTCGATCAACTGGTCCGCCGACTGGTGATAGCGTCGTATGTGTAGACGCTGAATGACGCGCTTGACCTGAGCGTCGCTGCCATTGCGCAAGACCTGCAGCGACCGCCCCAAGTCGAACCGTGACCAGTCCGGCTCGTCCCAGGTGTCAGTGGCCCGTGTCCCGATGGTGGCGGTGCTGCGTCTCACTGGTGCTAACGATGATGCCGAAGGTCCTGATGATCCCGCAGCCTTCGAATTCGTCGAGAAAGCAGGAGGACCCGAAAGAGCTTCGCGGATGCGAGCATCGCTGGCTGCTCGAGCCTCGGCCGGATCCATCTCCGGCTCGTCATCCCCCTTCGCAGGATCTCCAGGTGAACCCCTGCCAGGGACAGGAGTCCGCGGAGGAGGCTCAGCCCTCTCGCTGCTCTTCGGCTCGGTGACATCGCCAGCAGGTGCTCGTGGAGCTGCCTTCTCGCGTTCTTCGATCTGCTTGGAACTCCACCTGCACTCATCATCCTTGAAGGCGTGGCGAGGATCCCAGCGACTGGCCTTGACCTTACAGGCTGGGCACGTAAAACGGCGATTCCAAACACTGCGAGTGGCCGCTGCTGGGATGTCTGGATAGAGGCACTCGCCGACGACCCTGGTGTGAGTAGGGTCATCCTTGCGCTGCCTGCGTCTGCATGCCAAACAACCTGCGACCGCCAGTTCCTCGGCCGTAGGGTACGCCTCAACTGGCTGCACGTCCAAGGCGCACTTGATACCTCTGGCGGGCAGTTGGCAGATTCGCTTCGGCCAGACCTGGGTGTAGGGCGAGCGGCCGTTCTCATTGATCTGATGAACATGATGTGACGAAACTCCAGGGCAGCGCAGTATCCGAAGAGGTCGAATGATCTCTGGGTGGTTCGCGACGATGAGCCCATCCTTTCTGATGAGCCGTTCTCTGTGTTCGTCGAAGGGGTCGCGAAGCCCAGCTGCACACATCTGAATCTTGATGCTGTGGACGTCATCTCGTCCAAGTAATGCCTCCCAGCATGGTAGCTTCCACATCTCGCTCGCATATGGATTTGCCACTACGAAGAGGAAGCCCTGGGAGGCCTGGTGCTCAGCAACTTGTGCAGCCAACTTGGCGAGCTTCTCGCCGATGGCGCGGTTGCGGCGCCAGGTGTCCTGGCTGCGGGGTCGATGTCGACGCACGTGCGACCACAGGCTGAAGGCGGTGCACGGCGGGGCCATGACAATGACGCGTGGGCGACACTTAATGATGTAGTACCACAGCTGTCGCACATCTTCTTTCAGCGTCGAGTCGCAGCCGGTGACGATGTCAAAGTTCTGGCCGCCCCTCAGGCCCAAGCGTGCACTGGACCTGGCTGTGCCTGCCTCGCCGCCGTGGATTTCCATAATGTCGGTGGTCGTCTCGGCGAGGTAGTGCTCGATGTCGTGGAGGCTGTCCTCGTGGTAGCACTCGGTGTCCGCCGGGTCGTCGATCTCGTCGTCAATATAGTAGATCTCGTCAGCCTGAGTGGCGCACATGACGGTGAAGCTGGCGACGGCTGCGACGCGCTCGGCGTGCCACTCCTGAGAGAACTCACCGTGCTTGTCTTTCACCAGGAGTGGGGTGAAGTCGTCGCCGCAGTCCCCCGAACACTCGTCTGGTAGTCTGAGCGTCGGCTTGGTCCGCTTCTTGGTCTTGGTGACATCTTGGCGACCACCTCCGTCTTGAAGATGAGGGGCTTGTCCGGGGAGATTGCCGTAGTAGAAGCCGATGTGGAGGGTTATGATGCACTCTGGTTGTACTTCTCGCTCTCTTCACTCCTCAGTTGCAGAAATTTCAGCAGGTCAAGGTGAGCTGCCATGATCACTTGCTCGGGGTACTCCCTGGATGCCTTGTTGCGGCCCAGGGCGTTGGAGGACTGAAAGCGCTTCCTCGTGGCTTGGTGCAGATGAGCTACTTGGCAACATTGCGCCCGATAGCTGCCAGCCGGCCAAGACAGAGATGAGGCAGGTCGATGGTTGATAGGACTCGTCGAACTCGATACCAGGGTCGGCCCGTCACTGGGTCGACAGCGCCCAACACACACCAGGAACACTTCCGATGCTCGAGGCGCTCGTGTGTAAGTAGTGGTTGAAGCTCTGCTTGCTTCCAGAAGTGGCTGCCGGCGGTCGTGTCGATGACGACGTGGAGGCCCTTGTCCAGCTGATCACGGACGAGCTCGGTGACGTACCTGGCCAGCTCGCGGCCCTTGGCGCTGCCAGTGCCTGTGGCCGCGCCTGGAGGGTCTAGCCACATAACCTGAGCTGGTTCCTCTCGAACTTGTCGGAGTAGCTCAAGCTGGTGAGTCCGCCACAAGAGATTCCACTTCGTCGTCAGGTCGATTGGTGATCTAGTATGCATGCCGGCGGCCTTGTTCTTCTCGGTGAACTTGCAGGAGCCACTGAAGATGCCCCTGAAATGATGAAGGTTGTGATCTCCGTCTCCTGCTGGTGGGTCAGGTGTCGTTGAAAGTTGTCTGCGCTCGTCGAGCCAATCGCGAGCAGACTGCTGCCAGTCCAGGAGGCCTCGCGGCGAAACACTCGTAGGAACAGTCGATGTGCTCGAAAGTCGGAGTCGGGAGCCTGCAGGTCGGGCCGCGCCTGGCGAAATTCCCCCGTCGACCGATGTGCTAGACGGCGCAGTAGAGGAGGTAGCTGCCGAAGACGGTCTCGAAGAGTCGGCAGTGGCAGCTGTCGTTTTCAGAATTGACCGTGTAGTGATAGTGATTGTAGTGGTACTGCGGGGGATTGCCGATGGCACAGCCGAGCCTTGCCCCCGCTCATTGCTCGGCCCGCCGGGCCCTCGCGGTGGCGTCGGGGCTGCGGAAGGCACCGCAGCGCCGCTGCTGTCCAGCTGACAGCACGCTCCGTAGAGGACCCACTTCATAGAGGACCTGATCATCTCCTTGTCCTGCTCCTCGAAGTCCGACGCGGGAATCATCA